TTGGACACTTTCTGCAACGACACCATACTTTTTGGCAATGCGGTATATAATAATGGACAAAATTAGTGAAAGTTACATCATCTCATCCACAACAGCAGCATTAGCCTGAACAACAGCATGTGGTTGTTCCTCTTCCAAACAGAATCTGACTCGCGTGAAAGAGTCTGCATATTTCAGCGGCATCACACAGCCTATCTATAGCGGCATCGCCAACCCCCCGTACCCCGACTCGCTCCTCAGTGCACCGGTGTCCCATTAACACATCTGACTCCTGAAACGTGGCAGGAATGGCACTGGTATCACACACACAGACATTATTCCCATACTTGTGTTGGGAGGAGCTGGATATGGGCTCTCCGTTCCAGTGATGCACATGAAGCATCAAAACATATCAAACATCGCTGACAGAGTCTGCAAGTCATTCCGCACAGACATTCTCCTGAAACAGAAGTGTGCTTAATTGTACTGATAAAATTGCGCCTAATTAGGGCTGTCAAATGATTAATCACGATTAATCACATCCAAAATAAAAGTTTTTTTTACAAAATATATGTGGGTGCACTGTGTATAATTATTTTGTATATATATAAATACACACACATGCATGTATATTTAAGAAAAAAAATATTATTTATATATAAAATATTTATATTTATATATAATATTAATTATATATAAATCTATATACAGTATATACATGAAAATATTTCTTAAATATATACAAGCATGTGTGTGTACACTGTAAAAAAATTGCTGTTATGCAGCTGTTTGCCAGTAACTTACTGTAGATTTAAATTGATGTATATTTACTGGCAACCGTTTGTTCAAAGTTAAATGAACATTAAACATTAACAAGTCTTTGTCTTTACAGAATAAAATTATAAAATAACAATCTAATGCAAAGCATTCTGGGAACCAGTAATCTTCATCAACCTTTTTCTGTTTTTTTTCCTTTAGATTTTGGTTCCCAGAATGCTTTGCATGAGGCTGTTATTTTAGTTTTATTCTGTAAAGATAAAGACTTGTTAATGTTTAATGTTCATTTAACTTTGAACAAACTGTTGCCAGTAAATAACATCAATTTAAAACTACAGTAAGTTACTGGCAAGCAGCTGCCAGTAATACTGTAATTTCTACAGATTTTTTTACAGTGTATTTATATATATAAAATAATTATACACAGTGCACCCACATATATTATGTAAAAAAAACTTTTATTTTGGATGTGATTAATCACGATTAATCATTTGACAGCCCTACGCCTAATATAATCTTAATGAAGTAAAAGGTCAAGGTAACGAGAGAACAGTTTCTCAACACTTAAGTCCACTTAAAAAAAAAATATATGTTTACACTATTTTATGGTGTCCTTTTTTTTTACTAATTTTTTTTATGGTGTCCTTGTTCAATTAAGTACTGCGTAATACCAATTAATGCACTTAAAGGTTAGAATTAGGGTTTGGTTTAGAGTTAGTTGCATGTAATTATGCATAATTTACTGTTATTACTATAAGTACATAAAGTTACTAAATGCACTTTGTAATAATGTCAAATTAAAAGTTTTACTGGTTATTTAATATTAATATAAAGTTAATATATTGTAAATGTATGAATTTACAATATCATCATAACAAATGTTTAACTACATAGTAATATTTTTAAAAACATGACAGAAATGACATTAAAGTAGACTATATTTTGGTTTAGCATAGATGTTTGTCAGTACGTTCGGCATATTCTGAAATTACTGCCTGCATTTTAAAATCTTGGTTTTTGATGAATATGATCCTGTAGGAAGGGTCTTGTCTTTAACTCTCAGTGTATTTCATCACATGCTGCAATCTTAACTATGGCATGTATGTTGGGCCATGAACTCCACACAGTACCGTGAGACCGATCTTATGACCAGAGCCACAGCTGTCGCAACCGTGTACTAATACAGGAGGCACACACACACACACACACACACACACACACACACACACACACACACACACACACACACACACACACACACACACACACACACACACACACACACACACACACACACACACACACACACACACACACACACACTTCAATGCAACTCAACATTTCAGTGCCTTCAGCAAGTGTGGGGAACATTAAGACACTCAGGTTAGCTTCATCTGATCTACAGTTGAAAATCATTATCAGCATTCAGAGTTTCTTCTATTATGAACTTCTAATAACTTGATTTAGCACATGAAATAAATCCACAGCAGCCAAAATCAACGAAAGCACCAAAAACATAGATTTTTTTTTCAGATATGTGCAAATACTCTAATCACCAAGTAAATTATATTCATATTTAGCTGTACTAAAGTTTCCATGTCAATCTGAGAGTCTTGTCATTGTGAGCAAAGCTCCACACAGCAATGCCACCCAACCCAACACAACCCAACACAAGTCATATTACCTTTATTGAGTGTTTCCTTGTGCAGAATCAATTATTCCCTCAGTAACAAACTCTCTCTGTCTCCCCCTTCTCTCAGCCAGCGTATTCTCCGACTGACTCGCTCTGACCGCGACATTAGCAGTATTATTATGGACTCTGACAGGGGAGGCGGTCAGCGAGCCAATTGGATAAAGCCAGTGGGATGCCCCATACACAGAGGGTGAGAGAGTGGGCTTGAGGAGCGTCTCAATACGGACACAAACAGTTTACTATCATAACACTAAAAGAACATGACCTGAGATTTACAGTGAAACCAATAATACTCTACTCAAACAATATCTGAACATATGGTAAAGCGAAACGAAGTTGTAATGAGGTATTTATTGGACCTCTAAAGCCAAAAAGAAGACGGGATTGTGTTTTTGAGTTTAAGGAGAATGACAGTTCACTCTTTTGGTCTGGCAGTTGTTGTCTCTGGCTTAACACCCGAGTATACACAAGTATAGCTTTCTGTCCCACAGTGTGTCTGCTTGTTTTTTAGGCATCCTTCCCATGTGGAAACCGAGCCGGGGCGATGCCCAAACAACTCAAACAGGTCACAAGACACTGCCAAAATTCATTAGCCCCTCAGCGTGACATGCAGGTGAATCAACAGGGTCAAAATAGCACTTGGAGCCTCTATAGCCGGGGTCCCGGCGGTCCGGGTGTTCACACTGTGTGAGTAGGATAAGCAGTGTAATGAGTCAGGTGGAGGTGGGGAGGCTTCTCTGGCACAAGGTGAGGTGTTCGGTTTATTAGTCAATGCAACTCTCAGCAGAATAGCAGCCAAGAATCTGGAGCTGACAGCTGGCCGTAGACGTCATGTGACACTGATGGACTGACACACAGGCAGTGTGATCACATGACAAAGCAAGCCAGAGGAAAGAAACATATGTTTGTGGATACTGTCACGAGATTTCTCTGGCATTGATTCATCGCTGAAATCCTGTTCAAGATAAGCAAATCTAGATCTCACATACTTTTTTTTTTTTTCTCAGATAAACTATTATAAATATTTGAAAGAAAACTTTGCCATGTCAACAACTTCCTTCTTGAACTTCCCCTCCCTTTTTAAAATAATTTATTGCTGACAAACTGGAGAGTAGATTAATTTAAAACCAAAAAAAAAATTTAGTTATTTAATCACAATTAAGTGAAAATAGAGGTGCATATTAAATAATTTAAATAGCTGAATAATGTCAAAACTTTGTGCGGATGTTGCAAATTTTGTTGTGCTGACACGAAAAACTGGGAATTAATAAATAATTGTTTATTATTTATTATTCATTATGGTTTTCCTGTGTCTTCAGTTTCACTTTTCATTCTGTTAGTCATTTTTTTAATATTCCCTGTCCTTAATGACATCATACACCAGGAAGTGACATCATTTTCAGCAGGAAAAACAACACTAGCATCAGTAAGTATTAGCTTGAGGAATTCTGAGGAATTTATGAAAACATCATTCTAATTAATGTAATTACAATACTCTTAATTTAAATTTCTTTATTTAAAAGATTAACTAATTAGCAAACAGTTTGATTGGCCCCATTGACTTCCATTGTATTTTTTTTTTTCCTACTATGAAAGTCAATGGAGCCCATAAACTCTTCTTCAAAATATCTTCCTGTGTGTTCAACAGAAGAAAGAAAGTCATACAGGTTTGGAACAACATGAGGGCGAGTAAATGATGACAACATTTTTAATTTTTGGGTGAACTATCCCTTTAAATGCGAACTGAATGTAATGTTTTAGACACTCAATTGCCTGTTATTTAAAGTTAACCTTAACCCTAACAGTGTAAATTTATTTTAAATGCAATTAGTTGAATTTAAAAGTGTTTTTGGATGCAAGCACATCTATATCTGTAATTTCATTGTTACTTCTATTGTCTTTGAAATATACCTGACAAGCATTTTCTCTAAACTAAAATATATTTGTATAACTGTAAACTATACATATACTAAAATGTACTTGAAAATATATGTAATTAAACATTTATATTGATGAAGTTGCAATTTAGTACATTTAAAAATATATTAACTTTAAATGTAATAAGACACTACACATACTGTACATGTATGTTAGTATGTTGGTCAACACATCAAAGTAAGTGTACTTCTTTATAGCATGACAAAAGATTATTAAAACATAATGATTTAAAAAGTACTTTAAGGTAAAACTTGGTAACACTTTTACAATGTCCTTGTTACACATTACATGTAGTTACTGTATTAATAACTATAATTTATTCATGATTACATGCAACTAGCCCTATAGTAAGTATATGTAGTTTATTACTCAGGACTTAAATGTATAATAACACTATAACTAGGACACCTTAAAATAATGTGTAACCAAAAACTGTACTTAAGCGTGTTAAAGTGTACTCTTTAAGTACACTGAAGTGGCCTTTTATTTCATTAATCTTAAAGTACTTTAAAAAAAATCTACTTTCATGATTTGAAGTATACACTACAAGTGCACATTCAACACAATTACACACACTTCTTTTTCTGAAGGGTTATGATGTCAGCAAACCCACCTGCATCTGAAGAGGGTGTCCAGGTGATCCGGAAGATCCCTCGCAGACACTCACACATGGCTCACACACACTGAACATGCATCCCACGCAGCGCTACTACGGGTCAGGCCTCGGGCCGGGTCTCTGTGAGCAGATCGCTTCCAGCGAGCGTGAAGGGGAGACGGGCACTGACTCGGGAAGAGAGGGCTAACACATACAGGAGGGGGTCAGGGATCCAAACAGAGTGTGCATTCGGCTTTCTTTGTTGGGGGGGCATGTTGGTGTCAAAAGTGAACGAGAAAAAAAGAGATGGATGGACAGAGGCCATGGGACAACAGGGAGACGGGACAGAATGCTGCATTAGCTGGCACTGAGAGTCAGCAGTTTGCGGCCCCTGACTAAAGCTCCTGCCTTTTGTTCATCCGTGCGGAGGCTTTAGTCCCGGCCTTGTTATCGGGCTTAGCGAGAGACAGCTATCAGGGCTTCTGTCAGACAGAGCTCAACAGCTCCCAGAATATAATTAAAAGAAAAACACATTCCCTCACACGTAGTCACAAACAGGCCCGAACAGGTCCGAACAGGCCTCTGCCAGCACATGTTGAAAATGAAAATAAACAAAAACGCTGGCAATTTTTACATAGTATACTATGGAAGTCAATGGCTTCTGTCAACTGTCCGGTTGCTAACATTCTTTAAAATATCTTTTTTTTGTGTGTGTTCAACAGAAGAAAGAAACCCATACAGGTTTAGAACAACTTGAGGGTGAGTAAATGATGACAAAATTGTTCATTTTTGGGTGAACCATCGCTGTTTAGTGCAATTTCATATTCACTTCTATTGTCTTAAAATATGGTTGAATGTACTGACAAGCATTTATGGTAAACTGGAATATGTCATTTCTATTGAACTTGTATGTTATTTAAATATATTTGTACTTGCACATTTAAGTTGCAATTTAGTACATTTAAATATATTAACTTTAACATGTGACTCAAATAACACACTAAAGTTCCAATTCCACAAGTACTTCACATGCGTTAGTATGTTAGTTAACATATCAAAATGTGTACTTCTTTAATAGCCTACATGACAAAAGATCGTTAAAACACAATGTACTTTGTTTTTTTATAGTTTACTTAAAGAGCACACTCATGTAGCCTACTATGTTATTAGGACTATTTATAACACACTTAAGTACACTTTTAAAAAGTGCACTTTGTACTAGGTCATTATTAATAGTTTTAATATAGTCTCAAAAACATGGTTTAAAAAAAGCTGATGTCACAAACTACCTGGTAACCATGTGATGTCAACGAATGGATCAGGCGGGGCTCATTTGCATATTCATAGAACTGCTTATACTAAATGAGGCAAGGGTGTAGAGTTACACTCTAAAAAATGCTGGGTTGTTTCAACCCAAATTTGGGTCAAATATGGACAAACCCAAATGTTGGGTTAAAAATGTAATTAAAAAAAATTACAGTTGAAAGTGAAAGTTGAAGTTTGATTAAAATTTTAAATTACATTTTTAAAATTAGGATATTTAATTCACCAAAATTACATATTTAAACGTTTTCTCCATAAAAAAAAAATTATTCATGACTTAAAATCTTGAATGTACACTCTAAACAATGCTGGGTTGTTTTAACCCAAATTTGGGTCAAATATGGACCAACCCAAATGTTGGGTTAAAACAACCCAGCATTGTTTAGAGTGTACATTCAAGATTTTAAGTCATGAATAATTTTTTTTTCATGGAGAAAACGTTTAAATATGTAATTTTGGTGAGTTTTAGGGGATACAATTATTGACTACATGCCTACAGGGGGACTTGTAAGATTTGAGGTACACTACAAGTGCACATTCAATATATATGAATACATAATAATATAAAAATGCACATCTGGCACATTATGAACAAACAGCCTCCAACTAAAACGTGTTCTGAACTGAAGCAGCTTGAATAATCTTAATTTCCTAATTTCTAGAACCACAGAATCCAGGCTCGTGTTTGTAAGCATATTCATAATTCATGCTCAGAGAATACTGTCTTAAAAATGCATGATTACCTCGTACAACAACTAAAGCTACATTTTTGGAGTACAGGCCTCTCAGTAAGACCTTTGTACATCAGCCTTATACAAAATTAAATTGCCAAAAAACGTTATCGTTCTATTATGCTGAACACAAAGCCTCCTAACTACACTAAAAACACGTGATGTACACTGCAGTGCGGGCCTTGAAAACAAGATCCCTTTTGAGGTTTGACCAGAATGCATGCTGGGAATTAATCCCATGTATTAATCCGTTGACAAGTACAACCACAGCAAACATTCAGATCTGTGTTTGTGCAGCCGCTGAGCCAGAGAGAGCATATTAATTCATAATATCACAGAAGTACTGGAATAAAAGTGTGTAGTTTGTATGTAAACGCTGATGTCTATGGTAGATATTAAAATAGAGTAAATCATCTTTTGTAAGTAACTTGATGCTTCAAATAAAGATTACATCGTTGCACCAGTGGCGACAAGTGACTGTTAAAAAAATATATTTCATTGAATCATTCATTCATTCAAGAGATTTGTTCAAAAACACTGATTCATCCAGCAATGAAACAAGTCTTTATGAGTGAGGCATTAAAAACGATTTTTTTTTTAAAAAGCATTCATTCAAATTAACTCAAAACAGACAAAGCAATAATTTATTTACCAGGACAATGTATTTACAGTGACAATGGCACAGAGAGATACAAAAAGTGACGTGTTCTTTACAAAACCCTATACACAATAGTTGTTTTGAATTACAATATGATAAAAGATCATTCTCATATATTAAATGTCATGTTCTTCTTTTATGCACAATCAAATGTTTACCCCTAATACATATTTACTATAAACAACAACTTCCATATCTTCATAAAAGCTGACTTTCTGTCCATTCTCACTGGGTGACCTGAAATTAATTAGAGAAGATTTGATTAATTATGAATGAGAAATAAATGAAAAATAACATCTGACAAAAGTGTACATGTCCATTAGACCACCAATTTAGATTAGAATCTCATGTAGCGTCATTTTGAGGGTGTACAACCACATCACACCTCCACCCATCTTCCCATGGGTGCTACACACACACACACACACACACACTAGTTCTGTCGAGGCGACCCCAGCTGCAGAGTTTACTCTGCGAGGTTTGGGGAGATGCTCGGGATTGCTGTCTGCACCCTCGTCACCACACCGGCCCACTGACAGGACCGGGTGGTAATTAAAGTGCAAGAGGTTTCACGTACACACACACACACACACACACACACACACACACACACACACACACACACACACACACACACACACACACACACACACACACACACACACACACACACACACACACACACACACACACACACACACACAAAGCTACAGTCTCCCAAGTCAATACTAGAGATATTGAAATGCTTGAGAACCCAAAAACTGTAGATTGATTTGTTAGCATTGTGCCCTTAAGTAAGACACTTAAACTCTGTTTACTCCAAAAGAATCGTTCCGGTAGTTAAATGTACTGTTAGTCACTTAAAAATAATGTGTCAGCTGGATGAACAATGCCAGCATGAAGCACATGCACACATTAAATCATAAACATGTCCATATTTATACACTACCCGTAAAAAAATATTTTGAAAGAAGTCTCTTATGCTCTCCAAGGCTGTTTATTAGATGAAAAATACAGTAAAAGCACTAATATTGTGAAATTTTATTACAATATCAAATAACTGTTTTCTATTTGACTTTAAAATATAATTTATTCCTGTGATCAAAGCTGAATTTTCAGCATTACTCCAGTCTTCAGTGTCACATGATCCTTCAGAAATCATTCTGATATGATGATTTGCTGCTCAAGAAACATTTCTGATTATTATCAGTTAAAAAAACAGGTCCAATTTTTGTGGAAACAGTGATACCCCCCCCCCCCACTCACTTTTGACCAATTAAATGCATCCTTGTCAAATGTCTTAAATTAATACTTTTGAACGGTAGTGTATCACAGTTTCCACAAAAATATGAAGCAGCACAACTGTTTTCAACTTTCATAATAATCAGAAATGTTTCTTAAGCAGCAAGTCATCATATTAGAATGATTTCTGAAGGATCATGTGACACTGAAGACTGGAGTAATGATGCTGAATATTCATATTAATTATTCCAAACTTTTGACTGGTAGTGTATGTGTAATTATATAGATCCACAATGGTCTGGACCTGGAGTGGGAATTTATTTCCCAAATAATCCCATAGAAGTCACTTGTTGCTTTATTGAAGTGGACCATGGGCACAGCAAAATAAAGAGCTCATGGAGGTCCAAAAGTGTCAAAGATTAAATGTAGACAGACCCAAGAAGATGAAAACAGAGATTTGACTGACGATTTAAAGAGGGTGGTGAGTATAAACACAGGACGTCCTTGCAGTGACCCTCAGCGTCCATGGCAGTGTCCAGTCAATGACACACCCTCCCAGACCACGTACATCAGCTGGGCTGGCTCGTGATCGGAAGACAAATAAACAGGTTGGGTCCAGTTAGTCACAGAATGATATATTCTCTAGCTTTAATATGGACAGTTTATAATGATGGCCGATTGAACAATATGCCTTTACATATTTATAAATCTGTGCAATGCAGACTGGGAGTGGAAATAATTTACATTTAGGCACCCTTGTGAAAAATAATTATACTTTAGCATCAAATTTTTACAAAAAGTGTACAGTTTAAATAGTGGCCTATTATTTATTTAATTAATTAATATTATATTATCTGCAAGTAGTTTTTTTTTAACACCATACATGCACATTTAATACAATTAAGTGCATTTCTTTTCCCACAAGGGTACTCTGAAAAGAGTTTGGTCACATTAAATGGGATGTAATACATTAAAATAACCTACATTCAACAAAACAGTAAAATATGTAAAAAATAATTTGAATTCCTTTGTATTGTTAATGGAATATTTAAGCAATCAGAACCCTAAAGTCAGCATGCAATGGAAGTTGCGATAGCTATTTCTTCTCTATTGTGACGTATATTCCAATCAAATTGATAAAAATTTAGGGCGGGACTTGATGTTATCCATTAGCGATTGGTTGGATCGTTGTGGTTTCCTATTGGTCGATCTCATGTGAGTGACAGGTTGCCCCGCCCTCGCGCGAGTAAACGCCATTAGAAAGCGATGTCACTACAAGAGGGAGGAAAACTTATTTTGAGGAGACATGCATTGTGATGATGTGCATAGATAAATCATCGTCGATAATAAGTACTGTAATATTCAATAAAAAACTAGAATAGTCTATTTTGATTTAACGCTATAACAAGACTGAAGCTGCCAGATTTGTGGATTATACACTGCCCTCTGGTGTAGCTAAAGTTATATGCCAATGCCAGACAAAAGAAGATTTTTAAACTCGAATGAACTGAATTTTTTCAAACATTAGTAAAAGAGGCAGCACGTTTTAGCGTTAATAACATACTGCCAATACAAATACGCAAAATGAATGATGCATTTTGTATTATAGCTTGTGAATAACAATTTTAGAGTGAAAACCAACAAGTGTCTAAAGACCAAAATAAAAATGCATTCACTTCGGCGTCAGCGTGATTAATAATGGTAATAATGGTCAGTGTAATAATTGTTTAATTATCTCACATCCCGTATAACAGTTAGCTAGAACAAACGCGACTTTACATTCAATTTTCATTGTGAATGGATGAAAAAAACCTGAAATAATGAGCAACACCCACCCACTGCTCTCAGATGAGCCATAACACTCATATAGTGTGTCATATATATTATATAGATGTGTGAACCATTGTGTAATTTACATTATTTCCAATGTTTTAAGTTTGCATTTCTTTAAAATAATTCAAACTTTCCAGTTTCTCGGTCAAATCGACCGGGCTGGACATATGATAGTCAATTATGAATGACCTTGGAGACTTTGTTACCCAGTGCTGGGATAAAAAAAAAAAGCTTATATAAATGATATCTTATTGTGTATTCATCAGAGAAAACTCACCGCCATCTTCAGCTCCTTCTTGCGCTCCACCTCCACAGGCGATCACACATCTTTTCCAACGGGATTCTGACAAGTCCCGCCCCTGATTCATCACTCTTTGCTATGGTTGGTCAGGCTCTGTGAACGACATCTTTACGGTCCAATCGCAAACTACACATAACTCATATTAACCAATCGTATACAAGGAGGCGTGGTTTGCTAAATTCTGGTGGCAGAAAATAACGGACACAACATGGTCCACGAGAAATGTCCATTTATGGAAATGCAGCCAATTTTAAAAATAGACTTAAATAAATGCTTGGAATTAGCGGTGTTGACAAATAAAGTACCTAACTTTCTGTACAAAACTTGAATAAAAAAAAAAGCTGTTGTAATTGAATAGATTGGAGGAGAATGGATCATGCAAGCACATGAATACTTCAATAGAGTTTAAATATATGATTATAATTACCGTGTCAAAATATGAAATGGCATAACATTTGTGAGTTATGAAGGCACAAAGTAGCAATCAGAATAATGAACATACCATGCACATTTTACATCGCAAATGGGACCACAATGGTTTTCTTTGTTCTAATATGTAGAGAGAAAAAAGATGGTGTACTTATGATTTGACTAATTTCATGGCATTTATGTTAAACCTGTCATAAACCATTTGAAATCTTTATTAATGCATTGTTCATTGCATTATCTGTTTCCAGAAGCATCCATAATAATTTACAGCATCAGACAAAATAATTGCATACATGTTCTTGCAAAGGCCATATGCTACTACAAGAATGATGCAATATCAATCAAATTCCACATTTGACAAAAATGTCAAATGACAAGAAAAAAGAGAGTAAAGAGTTATACTTGTATTATGTTTATTTAAAACCAGTTTAAAACTTAAAACATTACTCTCAAAGAAAAAGAAAGATCTTAAATGTAAAATGAACTGAATTTGAAACCCCTGTTAAAAAATTAACAGCCAATAAAGTGTGCGCATTTTTAAAAACAAAAAAAGTTCTAAAAGTAAAAAAAAAAAGAAGCTCACACATCCCTCATTATTGCTCACTATTCCTCTTTATAACGATGAACAAGTCTGATAATGAATCATCTACATGGGCACTCTTGGCATTTTCACTTCCAGATATGTGACCTAATAATAAAAAAAGAAAACATCATCACAATTTCTAACCCAACAAGTCCTGAAGAAAAAAACTAATGTGTGATGTGCAGTTAAAACAGCCCAGTGCTGCTGGCCAATAGTGGTGACATAACAAGTCGTCAAATTATATATATAAAAAAAATTCAATAAAGACTACTTCAGATGTACAGGACAGCACGCAGCATTTAGGAAATCACTTTAGAAAGAGAAAGCAGCCATGAACAATCTTTTAAAATCAACGATAAAACGATTCTACCTGAGACACTACAGGTTCAATACATGTTAAAATGATCGATCAACAGGAAGGCATTTCTGTTAAGAGGTATTGCATGTCATTTAAAAGACATTTTGTGCAAAACATATGCAAAAAGTATTTATCTTGTTATTATCATTATTGAAAAAATACGTTCTTTAACTCCCACCTCTTGTTTAGTGCACTTTTATGAGTGCAAAAGTAGCTCATGGCAAGATGATCAGGGGAGGAGGTATTTAAGAGCCCAAAAATGGAGCATAGATCTATGATGTACATGCCCTGAATACCATACTTCAAATGCCATCAGCAGTGTGTGGCTCAGCACTCAACAGCGCCACCTGCAGTGTGAAGGCCACAGCGCAGACACAGCCTGGACTAGCAAACCGTTTTACGGTTGGTTCTGTGGTTAATGTCAGTGCTGTACTGAGAGTCCCAGTCTCTCTCGAACACTTCCTGCAACTGCTCCTGGACTGTAGGACCTGTGGCCTGAGCTAAAGTCTGGTTCACCACTAATGCAGAACCAGCTGTGTTCACGAAGTAGTCACCTGACCAGTTAGAGGTACCTGGAAAGTATGGAAGCAGAATATCAGTATAGCAAGAAGAAAATATTCGGTCCCACGTTATATTGAATATCTGCATGTAATTACATCTAAAATTAGGGATGCACAGTATATCAGCCACCATATCGGTTTAAGAAAATGTGGCCGATATATTAAAGCCGTTAAATAATGGATTATTTCCTTTAGCTGAGACACTTCATATGTGCACTGTTCGCCATGATGGTTTTGAATTGCATGAAATCTGATTGGAATCACTTTAAAAAAGGAAAATACAGTTCAGTGCAACATGTGCACGCAAGTCTAACGGTCTGTTCACACCGGGACGAATTTCGCGCGCGATATTCGCCGACGTTTAACGCCTCGTGACTAAACAAAGGGCGCCAATGTGAGTGTGCACACCGACGCGAAAAACGCCACGCGTAAAAGTGTCATTTTTTAAAAAACGCCTCGGGTTGGTTTTTTTAGTTTGACGCGCCGCGTCAAAAACTATCCGACCAATGAGATTGGCGCTTTTGCTCACGTGTCTGGAGCTTCTGAAGTTACAGTAAAACACAACTTGGGGGCGCTCAAACACAAAACGGTCTTGCCGAGCGCACATACGTAACGGCGAAGAAGATATACGCCAAGTAGCGTCTACACTGCCGGGAAGAAATAAGACGAGGAAGATGCAAGGCAAGATGAATGTAGAGCTGCTGGTCTCGTTGGTGTCTGAACATAAAGAACTATATGACAAACGCGACAGCGACTACACAAACCTTGATATAAGAGAATGTTATGGAGTGGTATTGCAGAGCAAATGGGCGCCGTCTAATGTCAGGGAATGAATTTGCATGTTCACTCGGCTCATCGTCAGCAAAAATCGCTTGGGTGTGAACACAAAAAACGCGTTGAAAAACGCTGGCGAATAACGCGCACCGATATTCGTCCCGGTGTGTACGAGCCTTAATGGTGAAAGTCTAAAGTTTAATGGTGAGACTTTTGTTTTTGTAATCAGGCTGTCAAAAATTATATAAAAATTTGGATTTAGATTTAATCAGCCAATATATCGGTTACCGTCTTTTAAATATAAAAATGATCGGTATCGGACAAAATATCGCAGCATCCCTATCTAAAATGACACTGTTGACCCTTCCCCCTTAAGCCCCGTTCACACCGCCAGCGATTTTGTCGCTACATGTCGCTAGTCTCTGTACTGTGAAGTCGCTTGTGGGCGTTCGTAGTGCTGTCGCTCTAATGTTATTGGTTGACTGCACGCCTGGCCATATCTATACAAAATACCACCAGAAGTGATATATATACAACAATATCATTTTAATTTGACTAGGAATTAGGCTCAAAAGAAACAGTATGCTGTTGGGAGAGTGTTTTTATATTACCACAGCAGTGTTCAGTGGATTAAATCATTTACAAGATTAACGATCGATGAATCAACAAATTAAACTCACTCATTCCGTCATAAATGACTAAAACGTCATTCGAATTTGACAAATAATCGATTTTCTTGTCCCTAATAGTCAACATAATGCAAGGGAAACTGTAAAATGAACTGCAGCAGTGCTAAACTTGCATCACAAAATTACAACACTCGAACTTTAAATGTATGAATTAAACTCACTGAGACTGTCGACAGTTTCTTTTCCATGCCTCATTTTATTATATCCATGTATGTGGTTACAGTCAAATCATATGTGAAATCTCCCTCGAACTCCTCTGTCTTGCCTGCACTCGAGACGGTGACGTGAGCTCATGCGTGAGCTCCACTGAAAGTCTACTTTCCTATTGGTTGTCGCTCGCGAAAATCGCTTCACATTTGCATAAAGTTGAAATTTCTCAACTTTTGTCGCTTGTCTCTTGTCGCTTGACACGCCCACATTCTGTCGCCAACGGTCACTGTCGCTGGTGTCGCCGGATGTCGCCAGCGCTCCATTGAAATGAATGGGATTATGTTGCTTTGTCACTGCGTGTCGCTGGCGGTGTGAACGGGGCTTTACACCAAACCTGACCTAACCGTACCCGTTTCTCTCCTCTTTAGCAGTAAAAGCGTTTTGCAATACAACCACAATAAGTACATTGTACCTACAACTTGTTTTTCTGATGCAACTAGGCTACATAGTAGTTGCTACATAGTAGTTGCAAAGTAACCGATCATACAGGAAAATGAATTAAGATATTTAGAATCTGAAAATGTAAAAACAAAAAGAAAGTAAAAAACGAGTCATACCTATATAAGCAACCTTGTCTGTGACCATGTACTTGTTATGGTTGACTCTGGCAAAGGGAATTTTCTTCTGTCGAGGGTCAGATGGCACAGTAAAGATTTTCTGTGAGGGGGAAACATAGTTTGTATTAGCTTATTGCAGTCATACACTACTGTTTTTCAAGAATTAAGGGGGTTCACACTACACAGGGGTTCAAATGACACCTTTAGCTCCATTCATAAGTATTCGCATGCTTATAAATGGAGCTAAAGGTGTAATTTGAACACGCGTGAGACAGGAAACACAAGCTCAAGCAAAGAAGTTTTGCATTACACTGCGTTCCAAAGTTCATGTATGGTGCGACCGATAGAAGTTCACTAAGCCACAGCGTGACCTTTCAGCTGAATGAAAAGAATGCAAACTTTAAATATGCAGGATTGCAGCGATAAAGGAAAGTGGAGTAGATTTCATATATTTGTGTCTGTAGAAATCATGTGTCTAGTGTATCTAGTGTGACCAAGGCTTTACCAAGGACTTTCAAGTAAATGTTTTTTTAAGTAAATGTTCTTTGAAATTTCACATATGAAGCAGCACAACTGTTTTCAACATTGAGCTTTTTGAGCAGCAAATCATCATATTAGAGTGATTTCTGAAGGATCATGTGACACTGAAGACTGGAGTAATGATGCAAAAAATGCAGCTTTGATCCCAGGAATAAATTACAATTACAAATTTATCAAATTACTTTATTTTATTTTATTTTTAATCAAATAAATGCAGCTTTGGTGAGCTTTTCAAAAACATTACGAAATCTTACCAACCCCAAACTTTTGAACAGTGGTGTGTATGCAACAGACGTAAATGCAATGCAACACAAGGTATGGCCTCTGAAGTAACACACACACACACTACACAGCCGGTCAAACACTTAAAGAGCAGCCCTGACGGCACTCACCACTTGAACGTCCAGCTTGTTCTTGTCCTGTAAGGAAGCGAGTGAGCGGAGGAACGGGAACATGATTGGGTTGGTGCTTTCCCAACAACTGATCAGCAGACGCACACGAACCCTGCGCTCATAAGCCACGCGCCGCAGCTGGGCATCGATATCAGTCCAGTACCTGCGGGAAAATCAGGGAGAGCAGGGTTACATTTGATGGCCGTTACAGAGGTTTACTTTGAAAGTTAGGAATATTTAACAGTCATACAACTGAGACCATTTCACTGCTGTTCCTTTAAGACTTCTATGTGAATCACTGAGTCCTTAAAGCTTCACTCTAACTGGGAGAACCGAGATGCAAAACAGAGAAAGTGTTGTTGCAGGAGGGTTATTATCATTCACTAAAACTAAAGCGAAAACCCTAAGAAAAATATTTTTCATTACTTGAATTATAATAAACATTAACTGAGTTGAAAAAAAATAAACAGCAAGTGGTCAAGGCAACATTGCTCATTTTCATTTCGTTTAAGTCAGTGCTATTTTTAGTGTCATTGAGATGCTTTTTTTGAATTAGATTGTTTATTTTTTCCGTTTTCATTTTAATTTCTATATGGTTTTTATTAATTTTATTTCAGTGTTATTTTTATTTTATTTTAGTACATGAAGTTGATTTACTAAATGACACGAGGTTAATGAAAATGGGAATCTAGCTGAAATAAAATAAGTATGTTTTTCTTATTGCATATTATTTGTAGTTAGTTTATTTTATTTCGAGTAAAGAACATGTCTCTTTTTATGGTTTTAGTTTCAGTTATAATAATAACCCTGGTTTTAAGTTGAAGTACTAAAAGAAATAAAAGCAAATAAACTAAAATAAATAAAAATTAATAAAGACTATAGGCATATTTAAGCAAACAACAACAAAAACTAATAAAATTGAGAAAAACACAACAAAATGACTAAAACTTCAACTAAGATTTAAATGAAAACTGATTTTTTTTTTTATATACAATTCAAAATATTAACTAAATCTATAATGGTATATCAATGATACTGGAATGACACTGTTGCACTTTTTAGATGCAAGAAACCTTTCTAGACTGGGGAGGAAGTTTAGAGAATTACCGATTCAAAAAGCATATAATGTGCACATTTCAAAATGAAGATAGGTGCTTTAAGGCTGGTTGGTTATGAAACATGTGCAAAGAGGAAGTGGAGAATATTTTATAGACCTCTTGTGGCTGGAGAACTCCATCGTGGGAAGATAGTTCATCACAGCGATGTAGACAAACTGCTGGGCGTCATCGATCACACTGAGGATAGACTGCAGGTCTGAAGTCCTGCCCTCAGCGCACAAGGAAGGAGGAGAGCTCTGTGGGACAGAAGAACAGACGGTCCTTTAACTTCCTCTATCCTGACTCAAAAAAGCCAAAGAAAACTGCAACCAGCAGAGTAAACAACACCAGAACAGGGAACAATACAAGCCACAAAAATTCCAATGACAGCGTTACATTCATACTTGACTTTGCTTTATTCCCTTTCATGGTTGAGCTGATTTTTTTTCAGTGTGACGGTTTTCTCTTACTGATAGATAGACACTGGCATCGGTCCCATTGAGTGACAGCTGCATCGGTGTGTCCTTATTGTACAGGGTGGAGTAGTTGCTGGGCCAGGGTGCAGGAACGGTCTTGGTCTGATTCAGGTACCAATAAGCCTCGAAGATCTTCCCAAGGTCCTCAGCAAGACAGCTGCAGTCATACACAACTGCACCCAACTCCTTCACCTGAGCAGGGTGAACATATAAAACATATAAGATCACGAACATGTGAAATATGTGAAGTATTAGTGCTATTTCTGTAAATTCTCTAAAGTCTTATGGCTTAACAAAATGTCCTAGCACATCTTTCCTCCTGTATTACAATGTTGTTATTCACTACCATTCAAAAATGTTTTTAAAGACATCTTATGCTCACCAAGGGCACATTTATTTAATCAAAAATACAGTTAAAATCTATCTGTATATAGTTCATGTGAACTCAGATATGTTCCTGGTATGGTAAATAAAATAAAAAATTGATCACAAAAAAATGAAAAAATAAAAAAATACAGTAAAAACAGTAATATTGTGAAATATTATTACAATTTAAAACAGCTGTTTTCTATTTGAATATATTATAAAACGTGATTTATTCTTGTGATGCAAAACTGAATTTTTAGCACAATTTGTCCAGTCTTCAGTGTCACATGATCCTTCAGAAATCAATTTTAATATGCTGATTTGCTGCTCAAGAAACACTTCTTAATATAAATATTGAAAACAGTTTTGCTGCTTAACGTTTCTGTGAATTTTTTTCTTTTTGGGATTCTTTGATGAATAGAAAGTTCAAAAGAACAGCATTTGTTTGAAATAGAACTATTTTGTAACATTATAAATGTTTTTACTATCACTTTTGATCAATTTAATGCATCTTTGCTGAATAAAAATATAAATTTTTACTGATCCCAAAGTTTTGAACAGTAGTGTAACTTATGTAAATGTATCTATTACAATACTGTGTACGGGTGGGCGATATGACCAAAATCTTATACCATGATATGAGTAATTTTATTTCACGATAACGACACACACTGCCCAGCCAAGAAAACAGTTGCTGTTTGGATTTAAATAGGCAAATGATTAAGAGTCAATGACTGGATCATTATTGCAGTGATTATTATGTTTCTACCATGTTATATGTTTGGCAACAGTTATTTTAACCATAATTGATGGAGTGTGTAGCTTTTAATTTTTTTAAACAACCATGTAGGAAGACACATCATGGCTATATTCCAGAAAGACAATGTCAAGATTCATCAGGCTCAAACTGTGAAAGAAAAGTTGGGAGAATGAAGAATCATTTTCACACATGAATTGGCTCCTCTCAAATCTTTGGGATGTGCTGGAGAGGTGCATAAATCTTTGGTCAAGATCTGACATAACATGCTAGAAACATAATAATCAGTGCAATAATGATCCAATCATTGACTCTTAAGCATTTGCCTATTTAAATCCAAGCAGCGACTTTTTTTGGCAGTGTATAACAATATACTTATTTTTCCTTTACATTTTTATACCATTCAAATTTCATAATTCTCGTAACCATTTTCAATATCACAAAAAATGAGTATATCGACGTCCACCGCTATTACTGTGTACGGGTCATGTACGAGTAGGCGGGGAAGCACACATTCCCAAACACTGATCTCAAACCATGTTGCATTTAGAGGTTTTGGGCAGCAACCCATGAAAAACTGGCCAAAAATATGACTGACCTGTGTTAGTGACCTCCAGTCCATATTTGCACTCCCTATGTAAACATGCTTTTTATCCACAATCCAGAATTTAGTATGCAGAACACCTGTCGTCAGCTCTCGCATATTCACCATCCGCACATCAGCTCCTGTGGAAAACAAGACATTTATATAATACAGCATTCTGAGGTTTCCTATAATGTTCACACCTCTGTGCTGATATATTTGATGTTATTTTTGAGTGGCTGTTAAATACCTCAATGTTACGCTGACTTACCGGAAGCGATCAGGAAACTAACGTCATCCAGGGGTTTTTTCTCTGACGGTTTATCGACTGCAATTCGGACAGACACTTTCCCCGAGAGCTGCCCCAATTCCTGCAGAATCTGCTCACCCTAAGACCAACAGAAAACTTGGGTAAAGACAGTGTCACACCAAGTCAAAGTGAAAGAACTAGCGGCGATGAAAGCTGACGGTGTTGTCGCCTCATCTCGTGTAAAAAAGCTGCGCTTTAACACACCAAAAGGACCACAGGCTACTGTCAACTAGCATGGGTGTTCAGTGTCTGTGTGTGCGTGCAAGGAAATAACTGTCTATATCAGCGGGTATCAATATATATTCATCATTCAAAAAGACTACAGGTATACAAACCTTAAAGCAGCTTGCTTATATATATATATATTTTTTTTTTTGTGCTTTTTTTGCACGCTTTCATCACTTTAGCTTTTATTCTCGTCCGCTGAACAGCCAATCAGAGTTCTGTGTCTCAGCTGACGGACGCCGATAAAACATGCTCAAACAGCCAAAATACTTAAAGGGGGGGTGAAACACTCAGTTTCAGTCAATCTCATGTTAATGTTGAGTACCTATAGAGTAGTATTGCATCCATCATATCTCCAAAAAGTCTTTAGTTTTATCATATTTATAAAAGAAAGATAGGCTGTACCGAGTCTTTCCGGAAAAAGACGAGCGGGTGGAGGCGTGCCGTGTGGGCGGAGCTAAATAATCACGAGCGGCGCGATACTATACGTGATCATGTTGTTTAGCCTACTTGCTGTGCTATTTCTATGGACTTGGCGCAGTAATATCATCATCATCACAGAGAGGGAGAGGATTTTTCACGAGTGATGATATTACTGCGCCGAGTCGAAGTGCTCCCAAGCACTTGCTGTGGTATTCCGCCATACATTATACTTAGAAAAGCGCAACGTTTTATTTTGTGTCACCATCCTTGGTCGAGTAACACTACTCGTGTGACTGTATTTAAATAGGGAAAACGTGGAGGTGTTTGCTCGCTTCTCAAAAAAATCATCCTCGAAATGCATGGAACAAACAAGAACACTTGCACAACTGTGTTGATGTTTTGGAAAAACAAACTCCATCCACTGGTCCCTTAACGCTTGATTCTTTGGGAATCTGTGCAGTGTTGCCTTGGCAACCGAAAACACACTTCTTTGGTGACATATTGCAGCGCAGCCGATGCACAGCGCTTTGATGGGCATAGGTTACGGCCAGCTCTGGTTACGGCTTCTGCTCTACAGCTGTGCGCGCGCCCTTCCGAGAGAAGTGCCCTTAGGACCGTATAAGGAAATTCCGGCGCATCTGACGTCATACGCGCCCATACTCGAAAAAAACTTTCCGAACCTTGTGACAACCAGGAAGGAGTATTTTGAGAACAGAAATGCTCAATCAAACGTACAACTTAATTTTTGAAACTTTGTCCATGTTTAGCATGGGAATCCAACTCTTTAACAGTGTAAAAAAACTCACTATGCATGAAATGGCATTTCACCCCCCCTTTAAGACCTTCGGCTTGGTGTATCAGGGCCTTAAGATGCCCCTAACAAAGCCTTTTATTCAGTGAGAATTCAGCAAACTTAACATCCAAACCTGATTAGCTGTGGCCTCGTGTGTGTGTGTGTCTTTATTGGTAAGAGTCCAGTAGAAGGAGGCGATGTCCAGACTGGTTTGAGCGCCAGATATAAGGTTGAGCCAGGCCTCATATATAGACTGGTGAGTGGTAGAGGAGTTAAACACCAGGCCCTCAGGAATACTCTCCACTAAAACAATCCTGTAGATGACACATATAAACTATAGTTAGCAACAAAGCCACAAATGCAGACTTCATTGAAGGTGCAGATGTGAAACCGTGTGCTAAGGTTAACCACATATACCAATGGACCACTAAAACACTCCAAATAAAACACATGTTTGGCACAGAATAATCAAATTAAGCTCCCTTGGTGGGCGTCTACCTGCAGGGATCAGTGCAGGTTTCTCTGGTGAGAAGATGCTTCTGCTGTCCAGATGCTTTAGAGGAGGAGGATGTTGCCATCGGAACAAGCAGGGATTGGAGTGACAGGAGTATCAACAAGACAGTGGTTAAACAGGTGAGGATGATCAGACACCTGTAATACTAAACACAGAGATGGAATATGTTCAAAATGCCTGGGCAATTATAGAGACATGAGGGATAATGTACAGTTAACTGGCCATTATTAACAAAACAAACAGGACCCCAAAGTGGTTCATTTACGATGACCATTTGTACATTATCCTGCTGATTAAACAGATTTTTACCAAATAAATGGACATGTAATTTTAATTGAAATTATTTTATCAACGTGAGAAGAAAAAACAATGGAGTGAAACATGAGGTACAATGTAATTAACAGTAGTTATACACAGTGTATCAGTACCAAATCTGTTATTGGACAGATGTTATTAGAGATTGTAATATTATTATTGTTATTATACAGTTTTTAGAGATTGGACATATATCAGCTGACACTGGATATTTAGCCCTCCTAAGCTTTTCGAACAGTGGCTATTTTGCCTGAAGTAGTAATAGAATTATGCACATCTTTTAGATATTTTTTGTGTGTGTAAATTTCGCTCTTTCACTATCATTTGTATAATATGCTAAATTACTTCACTACAGCAAACATTATCATGCATTTGGGACAGATTGCTGCCATCTGGTGAAAGTTCTAGATTGTAAGCTTAGAAAATACAAATTTGGATATTTGTTTAAACATTATCCAACTAGTATTTGTCAAACTTTGCCATACATTATTTTTACATCATTTTTAATATTTAAAATATTAATATTTCACATTTTCCAGTAATGCTTACAGTCACAGACTCCCATTCATTTCTCTCTCTGTCTGTGTAAGTGTGTCACTGGATGCTTTATAGTCTTACTCCTTTATTTCTGTGTGTGTTTGTTCAACATTTTTATATTAATTTTATTCAACACATTTTAGAAAGAAAATTCCCATTTATCCATTCATTTTAACGTGCAATTTTGACCACGAACACCCAAACTGTGACTTTTTTTTATGGCCACTTAGATTCTGTTGCTTTGAATGCTCATGCTATTAAAAGCAACTGATTACACGTTTGAGCTTCAGCAAGAACCAACGAGGGTCATTCTCGTGCGTCAAGCGATTTCCCATTAGGAAAGATTGATTTGTTTGTTACCTTTTGTGAGCCATGATGTGCTTCTCCTCTGCTTAGCTCCACATCAACCATCTGGAGCAAAACGTGAAAACAAAGGAATTGTAGTTAAGTTTGTACATTAATTTGTAAATTACAACCAATAGATAATCCATAAACAATAAGTGAATTTAAGGTGTGGAAGAATCACAATCAATTTTAAAGCATTTAAATGAAGACATAAATAATCATGGAATGTATAATCTACCTTTTCGTAAGGTATATCTGACTTCATTACGTCTAGGAGGTTCACCAGCACTTTAGGAGGAAATACAAATCCTAAAAAATACGAGATGAGTCAGTCTTGCTCTGGGGAACCTGTTCATGTGAGCATGTAGACTGGGTTGTGTAGCCTACGTGTTTGTGCACGTCTGTGTGTCGCCATTCACTCCTGTTCCGAGCATTTCTATAGACACAGGGCTTTTGCCAATTCATTATACAGAAAGAGCCAGGCGTCAGCATTAGTGGCTACACTGAACAGCCAGATGACTGGCCCATGAGCAGTCTTGATGAGCTTGGCAAATCTTTCACATGCAACTGGCACTCTGGGATATCATCTGACTTAAAAGTGGAAGTGTTTTTGAAGATGTAGAGAAAATGAAGAAATGTAGATGCTGTGCAGGTTATGAAAGTCATGAGCACAGGGTCACGTGACTGAGGTTCCTGATAGTAACGTGATCTAGATGTGGTGTTTTCTGCTGTAGTTTGAGTAATCTTGTTGAGTAAAAAATGTCTGCCATTTCATATAGTGTACACATTACTTTTGACCTGCTTCATCAAGTCAAATTAATTTTCACTTTCCGTTTTAATGGTTAAAAATGGTTATAAAACCTACTACTGTATACAATAATTTTGAAGGCCCCAACATGATCAAAACTTTGCTGAAAAACCTGTTTTGCACCATTTTCTACATGCCTTCAGTCTTCTGATTGATACTTTTTTAAAGGGTAAAGTAAAGGGACTTTTATTATAATTGTAAAAACTGTCCACCTCCAGGCCATGGTTTCACGTTGTGAAAACTTTAATAGTAACATGTTTAACTAATGAAACCTTATTGTAAAGTGTTACCACTTTAATGATTTTTATAAAACAGATATTGTTATTCAAATTTTACAAAACATTTACTAGATTGCAGCAACTTAGGTTTAGTCGATTATCCATACCTCATTTTTTATTTATTTAGAAAAAAATCATGTTCAAATATATCTATGAAATATGAAGCATGTTTTTGATGAAGAACGTGTTTCTCTCGATCATCATTACATTACATTATATGTTTTCCTCCCACAATAAAAACTACAGAGCTTTGACCATAAAACTAACTATTTAAATATAAATTTACTGAGACATATTTTACGGGAGATGTACTGTAAACTAATATTTATAATGCATTTTATGCAAGTAGTCTGCATTTACATTATAAGCTATTAGAATTTCATCTTAGTTTTTGGACATATAATTAAACATCATCTGCACTTACTTGCAATTGTTTTACCCGTCTAGAAAATGCCGCCTAGATAGGAACCTCACTAGGGTTTGAGCCACAGCCATATGGTCTATTTTTTGTATCCGCAAGTGTATTATTCTACATCTAGTAAAGAACACATTAGTAGATGTTGCATGTATAACCTCTGTCAACACAGCTGAACTTGAATAGTTGTAAAGACAAGGAAAAGGAAATGAAGGACATACCTGTGATCTAACAGCTCACAAAGCAAACCATCCCGTCTGAGGCGCAGCGGTATGAGCTATCAATGAGCTCGGTTTACAGAGGAAAACAAGTGCTCTCTGTTCAAAACAACGAGGAGTAATCGGCGTAAACAATGAGTACACTTCACTGTTTGCAGAGCACACTAGTTAGCAGCCCTACTAGAGCTCCTGGCGAGTTCAATGTCAGTGTCACGTGATCACGTTTTAAGTAACCTATGGGGGAACGCCATGAGAGTGACGTAGGCTTGTTATCACGATTTATTTATGTTGCTGAAAACGCCACCAGAAACAACAGGGGCCTGTTTCAGAAAGAAGGTTAAGTGAAAACTCTGAGTATGTTAACCCTGAAATGAGGGAAACTCTGGGTTTTCCGTTTCAGAATGGGAGGTATATCAAACCCGAGAAAGCAGAGTAATTCAAGCCCGTTTCTGAAAGAGAGGTAATTTATACTCAGAGTCAGTTACCATGGTAACTTACTCTGTGAACCTAACCTGGTCGGGAGCAGGTTTTCTTCGGTAAACCCAGAGTTTCTTGCGGTCTCCTCCCCTTTTTTAAAGAGGAAGCGGTGTTTAAACACCAACAATAATACTACAATTTATTTAAACATTATTTAAGGAATATCTATATTGTTTGTCCATGGTTTAATTGACTAAATCTGTTTTGAAGCACTTTGCCAAAAAATAAAAGGATTTAAATGTTTGCTAAACTTCTATTTTATTACCACCGTTTTTGAAAATATGTTTGTATTAAATCATAAAAAAAAAAAAAAATCTGAATAAAAAACATTTCATAGAACTCAATTATTTTTGAACATTTTAATAAGTTATTAATGATAAAAAAATAAGTTGTTAATCTAATTCATAATCAATTATTGAAATTATTAGATATGTTTTATTGAACAAATGTTTAATTTATTTAACTGTCGTTTTAACTGATGATAATAATAACCGTAATTTAATAATGCAGTTTATATATTTAATAATTGTTTAATACCATGAACTGTGATATTTTCTGTGAAACTCTCATACGTTACAACCCTACACAGGAGAGTCCCCCACCCCACACCCGCTGTTAAACAAGTAACTCAGCAACTTTTACTCTGAGTACATTTTAAATGAGCTACTTTTGACTTTTTTAGACCGGTAATTTTATTTGTACTTAAGTAAAATTTTATCAAAGTAATAGTATTTTTACTTGAGTAAAATATTGTATTACTCTTTCCACCTCCGTTAGTTCTAAACAAATTCTACAGTGGCATTACACACTGAAGTGTGTCCCTACTATTTATGAAGTTTAGGCCTACTATTTGTCATAATTTCTGGTGTATTGAGTAGGCTACTTACAACTGCCTGGGGTTCTGTTGGGACATGAGGCTCCAAAAGACAGATATTACCATCAGAATCTATTGGGACCAACGAAAAACCCAACCCAAAGTAAAATAAATGGAAATATCAAAAATACCCTATAAAAAATAACACACATGTAGACCTCTTACATTTTATGAAGGATCTTGAATCTTCGGGAGTGACTGGCTCTGATGAAGTCATAAGGTAGGCCTAATAAATAGTTATTAATTACTAACTACAAATGACATCTTCAACAGTGTAAATAGATTAATGTAATAATTACTATCTTTAGAAAGTATTGGTCTTATTACTAATTACTAAATCCCATATCAACCTCAACCACTGAACAATACAAGGAGAGACAAGAAACTGCACTTTTAATGCTTTCAAATTAACAATACATAACATAGGTTACATTAAAAATATGCCTTTTAAAAATGTATGTTAAATCCACTATTCTTTTATACAGAATTGTTCTATAGTCTATGCAGTAGCCTATTTAATGTAATTACATCAGATTTTATTTTAAATTACAGAAGAATTAAGAGTAATCCCTTTAATTAAATTACAATATTTAGATTACTTGACATTACACCCAACACTGTATAACAGTAATTCCTCTTTTTGTCTGGCGCTGTTGCCATGGTGACTCGTAATATCTGTGCTCCATTGATAATGGCTTTTTATAGTTGTGGTGCACGCGCTTAACTCAGAGTCAGTCAACTTATGGTGTGTTCACACCGAACGCGAATTTAATTATTTGCGCGAGTAGATTACATACAAAGTCAATGCAAAGACGCGAATAGACGCATCATTCGCGCCGGGCGTTGCGAATGACGCGAATTGGGCAACGCGTTTGCCGCGAATGTCTTCCGCGCAAGTTGAAAAATTTGAACTCGAGCGAATGTTCAAGCGTCTAACTAAACGCGATAGACGCGTATTTGACGCTCTATTCGCGTTCGGTGTGAACACACCATTAGAGTTGATTGAACCAACTAATTTCAGCTGTTCTGTAACCGAAAACTCAGAGTTTCCCATCTCAGGGTAAGTCAACTCAGAGTTCAAGTTTTAACTCAGAGTTGGTTGAACCTCCTTATTGAAACGGGCCCCAGGAGGACATATTCTTATTGTTATTTTTGCGCATTATTATATGATTCATTTCATCGCTCTCTGGCCATTGTGTGAATTTAATTTGGAATATAAATCACATATGGTTTTATGTAGTAGGCCTAGTTACATTTCAAGTAGGCCTAAGTTAGATAAAAGCTAAACTGAGCTATGTTGCTATAGGTACTATTATTTTTTGCTTTTTTCAGTAGGCCTAGAATAAGCCCAATATATTTTTTGACATTTAAGAAGAATATCTTTAGATTTCTGAAAAGTTTCCTGAAAAAAACCCACCTGTTTAATTTGTTTATTATTCGTTATTCTACGCAGTTCAACAGCGTGTGTACGTCTTTAATTGGCGAGTAGTTCATGTTACAAACAATAAATGTTTGACTGTGAACAAAATTGTAGCCTATGCCAGATAATGAACGACACTATATTTTATCGTTAATGTTAATAAGTTTTTAAGTAAATTACATTTTTAGGATCCCCCTTCGACTTCTGGGGGCTGTTCCATAAACCAAGATTAGAGTATAAGCCAGGCTTATTTCGGTTAGTCAGGCTTATTTTTGGTAGATTCGGTTTCATAAATCAAACTTAAAAAAGTTCAAACTCAGTTACCCTGGCAACTTATGCTGGGAAACTAGCCTGGTCCAGGGCAGGCTAACTGTCAGGCTAAGCCTCAGTTGTTACACAGATCCTCAACACTGACCGACAAGAACACAATGATATTACCACTGACAGTCTCTAATACCATTATTGGACTTTATAAATACACAGTATACAGAAAATCAACTTAAATAAGGCTACAATATAGACAATATAGACACATATATAAGGCGTTTTAAAGTTTAGGACATGTCATTTTTGTAATAAAGACATTTTAATTAAGGAGTGCCTCGGTTATCAGAGAATTCTTTCTCTACGCTGTCTAGATATAAAATGTATATATATATATAAAATGTACTTTATTATGTCTTTCAATTCAAACACATTTAACAAAATTATACAAATGGACAGTTCCTTTAAAGACATCATATTTTCCCCCAATAAATATTCCTTATTTTTCCTTCTACTTTTTTTTCTTTTGTGATAATACCAACATATATATATATATATATATATATATATATATAAATAAAACAATAAATAAATATTAATAAAAATATAACATTCACATATATCAAACTCTTATAATGAATGACACATAATTCCCAATAGTTATTCAAGTAATATTATTTAAATATCAAATATTCAATATTAAATAAGTAAAGAAATAACAAATAACTAGAAATAAAAGGGAAGGTTACATAAAAATGTAGTTAATGTAGGCCAATATATAGGCTATTCCTTTATTTTATGGAATATTCTTTGATTTTAGAGTTGCACATATCTTTTCAAAATGTATACATTTGTTCTTAATTTAATGTTATCCTCTCCATAATGTACTTTAGAAACTAAATCTAAACCACTAAACTTAAAACTGGGGATTCTTGCTTTCTCAAAAAAATTATTGCATAAAAAGCTGTAATTCTCAGCATTCTAAATAAGTAAGCTATATATATCATCTTTATAAAGTAGCATAGGTCCTATACCCAAAACTATATTTTGTATCTTTATATATTTAGTTTCTTTAAAAAAATCTTCCCTGAATTAGGCTACTTCTGTTCAATTTCTTTTTTTTTATTAGAAGTATAAAATATATGAGTGTAATGAGCTAGAAGTTCACTGCAACTTATCCAACATCCTAAAGAGAAATTATTATAATTAGAAGATATTTCTAGTGTTATAAAGTATCGCATATTAATTTTCCAAGCAAAATGTATATTTTAGTCAGAATTATTGCGCTCCTATTTGGCGCGCATGCGCGCAGCAGCGCTCGTTCAATATGAAGATTAGCAGCAAAATTGATACATTTGCACTACTTTCTAACATTTACAGATGGAGAATATAACTGTAAAATGTCATTTTTGCACTGAGGAAAAAAAAAACATGTCACAAACGCATAAAACAGCACAAAATATACGCTGTTTGGTGGTGGATCGATTTGATCCACGATCGACCTCTAGGGCTGCTTCAGAAACGCGTGCACACGCAATTATCTAGACTAGATAAACCTGGATCAAATTAGTGAGATTGCGTGAACTTCAATTACCTTTTATGGAACCACTTTAGCCCCAACTTATTTGTTAGGCTCATTCAAGTCCGGTTTTGGAGTTTAATCCCCGCTTTTCTAAGCTTCATTTATGGAACAGCCCCCTGGAGCATGAAAAAACATTTGCTGAGCTTGAGAAACAGGTGAAGTTTGTTTGTTTATTATGTTATGTGGGCTTTTCTCCAGCAGAGGGAGATGTAGGACTATATTATATAAGACTAACGCAGTGTCAAGCTGATAACTGAATTTAGTTTATGATGCCAAAATATATATATATTATTGTGGTGAGGTGAGAGAAGCAGACACGAGAGCAAATGTTTAATTCTGTATTTATGCTAATCTCCGAAGGCAGCTCCTTTAAATAATACTCAATCATGACAAAAGTGGCAGACAAAACTATGCACATGGCGGTTTATATATAATGACACTCCAGAAACCTAATTTATAGAGATTAATAAAATAATACTATATTTGATAATGCTCAGTTTGAAAGATTCAGGACTGAATTAAATGTAAATCAAGGCTAGCCTAGTAAATCTATATTTCTCAATATTTTTAAGTCATAAAGCGTGAATCATATTGGAAAATGTCAACTTAAAAGTATCATAATTCATAAAATGAACAAACAAAAGTTTCCCTGTCTATCAGGAGAGTGTTTTAAAGTGGCTCAGACCGGTATATCTGCCCTTGGGCTGCACGGCAGTTATGGGAGAGTCAGGAACCTGTCGCCAGTCCAGGATGCAGTCAGGTGTCTATCCTTAAAAAAGAAAAAAGACAGGGGACCTTACCGTTACACTGACATTAACGGATGAGTTTAGCATTTACACTGCCACTCTTCTTTTTCTGTCAGCTTTTAGTAATAACTTATTAACAGAGTAACCCATATAAAGATACTATGAATTAACATATCTGTTCAGTCGTTTAACAAAAGACAATGTTGTGTTTTGTCTAAATAATTAATCTAAATTCATGTTTCTTATAAAAAATAAATAAAAATGCATAATATAGTGTATCATAATTATGACCAACCATCAACAACAAGAACATATTGCTACATTTTTATGACCCACATCCTTCTATAATTGCATGGATGTCATGTAGGCCTATAATCCTGTGCAATTTTTCCAGGAACTCTAAATAACACTTTTTTTTTCATTGACGTCATTTTTGAAATATTGTAATATTACAATATAAGGATTACATTATAAATAGTATGTCATTTTTAAATGTAATTTCTTTTTAAACAATGAAAGAAAGCAATCAAGGCTACAAATAAATTATTTTTCCCATAGGAATGTAAATAGGTTGTTGTACTACTATAAGTTAACCACCTGTGACATGCCGTGTCAGTAGTGTGTGTGTGTATTAAAACAGGTTACTTCATTAGTATATTCACCTGTAAGAAGACACTTTAAGAACTGAGGCAAGTCACAAATGATACAAACATCTATGTTCAATTGTCTGCATTTTGAGCGCAAAAGTAGACATTTGATTGGTTTCTATGAAAATGTGAGCTGTTGAAAGAGATTTTGAAATCCTCTGACCATGCCATGGCTGTTCATTTCGTGCTTTTATTAAAGTTTACACGTCATCATGCCTGTGTTCTCCTCTATTCCCAGGTTTTGCTCCCCTGTACACATCATAAACCCAGGTTAGTTATTTCCCACCTGCCCATTTGTTTTTACCTGTTCTGAAACGAAAACTGTGTTGTAAACCTGCCTCTTATAATCCCACAAAACTTATGCAATTTCCTGCCAGATGAAAGGACACTTTAAAAACACACTTTATTGGCAAATATAGTCCCCCTCCACCCTGCCAATCTCCTTCAAACAGCCTGTGCGCGTGTGGAGAGAGAATGAAACCAGGACAGTATTTGCTCTCTGGGTCTGTATCTCTGATAAATGTCACCTGTATTTTCTCGACAGGGTACATTCATCCACAATAGAGACTTGAATGTGTGTGGTAGGGTGAAATGAGCGTAAAAACACACACACACACACACACACACACACACACACACACACACACACACACACACACACACACACACACACACACACACACACACACACACACACACACACACACACACACACACACACACACACACACACACACACACACACACACACACACAGTGTGGTGTAAATGTTGACTGAGAGTGATTGTAGGATGTTTTGTCATATGTGTGAGCTTCGTAAAACTCTTCAACTTTTGCCTGTTTGTCTTCAGGCTTTTTTTTTTCTCCTTTCTGCCAGGATCAAGAAAAAGAGAGAAACCTACGTACATGACCACCCAAACACGGAAGTAACCAGGACACACCTGGAGTCATAAACTGTGGCAAAGGGCCAAGCCTTTGGATCATATGCAGATAGAGAGGCAATACCTGAAGCACAATTCCTGGTAAATGAACAATAGTACAAAAAAGAAAGGAGCGATAAATGCAATGGTGGAAGAAAGAATGATGTGGATATGTGTAATACGGTTTACTCCCCCATCTGAAATGGTTTGCTATAGAATATAAATTGTTTGGACTTTTATATTCTCTTATGTGACTGTTTCTGATACAGTTCCAATACATGGGGCACGGCTATCATACTTTCTCATAATAATAGTTAGATTTGATATCATATATATCATCTTTTGATATGTGTAGTGAAAACCAACCCACATTTGTTCTGAAATACTCTAAACGTGGCTATGACATAACCTGCACATCAGGTTGTTGCGTTGGCCACCTGCATCATCCCTGACCAGGATGCGGTTTGTAATCCTGAGGCTCGGAGCCGACCATTGTCAAAGTCACAGAGCGTGGAAAGATCCCAGACACAAGCTGTACACACCCGCTGCATTTATATTACACAGCCTCTGGCAGACCTCGCCCTTTCCAATACAGATTCATCCCGGCTTATCTTTACAGCGCGGTTCTCACGGGTGAGACGGCGGGTCCGCTTCAACCAGATCTTGATTAGGAGAATTAATAATTCAGATACTGAATGATCTGATGCTTAAGGTGAATTACAACACTATATTTTTTAGTCTTTGATAACCTATTATAGGTTGTATCCCTTGTAGTTTTTCCTCAATGCACTATACCAATAAACCCAAGTTATACTGAATTGAATAAAACTGAATGGAACCCAAAGACAGTTATAATAACCCATTACCCTTTAATGTTTCTCTCAATGCACTATACTAGTGATTCACTAACATGATTTGGTAGCACTATTGATTAGGCGACACATATTCACTATTAACTAGGAGTTTTCCCTCAATAAACTCCTACTGCTTATTGATTATAAGTAAGGTAGTTGTTGTGGATATGCTTAGGTATGGGGAAGGGGTGTAGAATATGGTCATGCAGAATAAGGCATTAATATGTGCTTTATAAGTACTACTAAACAGCCAATATGCTAGTAAAATGCATGCTAATAAGCAACTATTTAAAAGGGAAGATGTGTTTCCTAATCTAAAGTGTCACACAAGATTTTACCTTAATATTTCAATAATTTAAAAAACACATTTGCATGTTCACAGTTAACTTATGTCGTTAGGCTCACAACTTTAAAGTCTTGAGTCAACTGAAAAGCTTTACAAATAAACATATTATTATGGAACTTAATTATAATGAATTGAATTAAATTGACACTCGCAACTTTAAAACCTAAAGTCAACTAACCTGGTACATACAATAATAAGTCAATGCATTAACTAACATTAATTAGCAATGAGGAATACATTTGTTACAGTATTTATACATTTTGGTTAGTAATGTTAAAAAAATTTTTTATTTACATATACAACTGTTCATTGTTAGTTCATGTTAGCGCAGGTCCAATAAATTAATTAACATTAACTAAGACTAATAAATGCTTTAGAATAATTTTTCATTATTAGTTCATGTTAACTAATGTTAACTAATTAAACCTTATTGCAAAGTGTTACCAATTGAAAGCGAACAACTCAAGTGAACTATAATAATTGATCACTATCTTATATTTCTTCTAATGAACTATACACAAACCTAAATTATATTTAAAGGGACAGTAAGCAATTTCTGAGAAATGCTGTTGAAAGGGGATTAGACCGAGCACCAAAACACATTTGAGTCAGCATTGGGGGAAGGCCCTCCTAACTGTATTTGCTTTGTATTTGCAGGTGACCCCAGTATGAGTGGGTGAAAGAAAACGAGGGAGCAAGACGGCAAGAGAGAGGCGTTTGTTCACTTGGGTGAAGGCTGGAAGATCAAGGTGGGTCATAGTGTGGAGGAGGGTATGCTGGGGTGTAGGAGGATTGGTTAATGGGGGTTTGAAGGTGCAGAGTGGCATAAGTAACTCATTACCCCGCCTGGTCGAACAATGTGTGGGAAGGGGTGGACCGGTAGGAACCAGGTTATTGATCCAATCTTCAGTGTGTGGCCCACTCACACTCCATGACACAGAATGATAAGCCACGATTGAGCAACAGAGCTGTGCAGACTTAGAAACCCTGCAGAGTCAAATTAAAATTAAGGTTGAATGCTAAACATACAATACACACTTTTTAAAGTCAGATTTCAAAAAGGCCACAGCCATCACATGCCTTCTCAAACACATCTAGAGTTCTAGTTGTGCTAAATACATGATATAGCAACAACTTTGTGTGGATTTAGGATTAATGCTATCTATAAAATTAGCCTTAGCAAGACATTTTATTTCAATAATGCTCAAAATGTCAGAGCAATAGCCTTGTGGTCAGTGGCACAATAGTGGTTAGGGCGATCTGAGCTCGAATCTGACTCATGATCCCTGCCATTCATTGAACCATCTTTGATTTTGCTGTGATACATTTATATACACTTTTGGACAGTGTTGGTAGACAAATATATATATAAAAAAAGATATATATAAATCAATTTAAAAAACATTTTTAGACAAATATTTATTTATTTTAAAGACCAAAATGACATGGTTTCGCTGTGATTCAGGTATTCACTGTTGGACAAAGAGACAAAAGTAAATAATCAAATAAATTTGCCTATTTATTTATTTAAATAACAAAAATTACAAGTGATTTTGCTGTGATGCATGTTCATTGTTGGACAATGTTAGTAGACAAGTACAAATAGACAAAGTCATTCATTCATAAACTTATTTAATTTGCAAGTGAAATTGTGTTTTAAGAGAGTTTATGTCTTTGAAGTCCACAGGGCCAAAAGTGCCTTTAGTTGAGACATGCCTTTAGTTTTATATTCTTAATTATTTTGTTATGCAGTAACTTTTTCGTAAAAGGTGCTCGAGGTACAATATATAATAACTATAGTTCTATAGAGGCTCAGTGTTTTGCAGGCGCTCCGCTGCACATCGGGCCTACTGTTTTTCCGCTTAGCCCTCTTATCTACCTGATTGCTAAAAGGTGATGCAAAATTTTTTCATTGTTAAAATACTTCTCTAATCTCATATCCAACGGTTCTATAGTGTAAAAGGCACGTAGGAGTGGGCTGGATACCGTTATATGCTGATGAATCAAGGCTGGTCTCTTAGTAACGCCAGGTCGTTGATATCTGTTCTCCAATCCTCCCTCTGTTGTGCGGTTGTTCTCTCTTCTCTCTTCCCCCTCTCCCCGGTCATGTCTAGTCTTATCAGCTGCTGTCCTTGGCCCCCACACCTGTAACAGAGGGCCACAACTCAGCACAGGCTACTCATTAACCAGTATTTCCTCCTGCACAACAGACACAGCTGAGTTTGAACGCCGCACACTCACACCAGGCCATCGGTCTGGGCCGCAGCCATGCAGAGGTCATGGCTTTTGGCTCGTGGTCCACCAAAACAACACAATCTCATGACAACATTTTTATTATTTGTGGATAAATCGTATTTGTATGATCTCATTCGTGCGTTTTCTGCTTACGCTCCACTGACGGACATGTTTGGGGTAGACCTTCATGCTTACTTTTCCCCCTAAAAATAGTATAAACTGTAGGTTAGAATACACACAATTCACACATAAAGCTTAGAATATTGCATATTTACAAGAAAATACTATTTCAGTCATTTTACTTCAAAATTTCTCATTTAATTCAATGTGTTAATTGCCGATTCTTGTAATTATTAGTGAAAATTGTTTTAAAGTGAATCCGACAAATTTGTTTTTTTGTTTTCGCATGCATCACAGCATCTGAATTTATGCTGAATTTATAATTACGTTTTCTCATGAGATCAGGTTGCCAAACCCAAACCCAAAGCTCTGATATTGTTCGTGATTGCAAAAATGCAGCAACTTAAAACTGGTTGCATGTAATAATAAATTAGGCTGAGCGTATTAAAAAAAGACAACAGTTGTTAATACCTTATGCAATAACTAATGTTTAACAAATGCTAGTTCATATTAGGTGTTTAATTTAGTTGATTAAGCTCACAATCTCACTCCTGCTTCTAAATGATTTACACTTTTATTTGCCAATGACATGCATGGGGATATTTCAGTGAATTTACATTTTTGAATTGCACTTTGTTTTACAGTACGTGCACTTACAGTGTATTTAAGAAAGTACTTATAAGGTAACTACATGGGTTAAGGTTAGGTTTAGGGTTCAGGGTTAGTACCTAGTTATTACCCGGTTATTGCAACTACTATAATAAGTATGTACATGGGGAACAGGACTGTTAAATAAAGTGCCACACATTTTTCTTTGGCCACTGTAAATGGAGTCAGCCATTCACTACTGTACCTGAAGCTGTGCTGTGCTTTTTATTAGGCGTTTTCATTTCGGTGAACAAGGCGAATTCTGGGATGCTGTGATCTGTTAACATGAGTGAATGTGAATCTGACATGCTGAGGACTGTGATTGACTAGTCGTTTGACCAATAGTGTGCAGGCATTGTACATAATCAACCAATACAGTGCTGCAGTGTACCAACAAAAATGCGTTGGTAAAAATACACCAGCCCTGAAGTTAGTATCATCCTGTTTCCCTCAAAAGAAACCCATGGGATTTTTTCATTGGCTTTTGGATTATTGCAAAATTAAGCTCTGTGAGTAACTATTTTTTTGTATCTAACACGTTTTGTTGATCATGAAAATCTTCACAAATGAACACAACTCTGAATTTTGACGCCTAAATACAATTGGCAGAATTAAAAAGCTAAACGTAGGCTATAAATGAAGTACACCATGGACTTCAGCGTCACCACCATTAAGCTTCAGTCAACTCTTTCGGTCTCTATAACAACATTTTCACTGAAAGTTTGAGTTGGAATAATTTGCAAGAGTGGGATTATAAACACAATGAGGCTGTGAAAGTTTACCTGTTGGCGTGACGATGTTAAAACATGACAATATCTTGAGCTTGGATTTACCACAGACCTTATTCAATGCATTCAACCGAAAACCCAGGGCGATGGAACCTGGAAGTGCTAAAATGCAAACTCATTTTCAGGTTTTGGCCTACAAAATAATCCCAAAAGTAATGTATTTTGGCATATGAGAAGGCGGGATCTACAGAGAACGTTCAAAAAGCGATTCATACGCATACATAGATTGTATAAGAACTGTAGAGAGCACGTCAATATCTAAACAAAGCCAAATCCTAGACATTTTAGGCGATTTAGAAATCCAAGTCGGACACTTTTTAAGGTCTGATAAAGACCTTATAGACCTACATGAATGTCAAATTTTCCACATGATTTGTCTCTTATAGTTAATATGCAGCATGTTAACTAATTAACCAATGTTATCAAGATGTTAGCGTGCCTTTCATGCCACGTCTAATACCCTGGAAGACGTAAGCTTCCTTATAGAGCCTTTTTTTCTGCCTGCTTTCTTCAGTTCCCGAAGGAATGTTGCCATAGCAGTGTTAGAAGGGATTGCTTTTGTTTGGGTGGAGCTCAGACGTGGTCATTACGGAAAGATCCTTCATCTTACCTGCCGGGGGGTTTGTGCTCCGTCCCGGGACTTGACCAATCATTAATAAAGATGGTATGTGACTGTGTTATCAGTTGGCTTTGGGCCAGGCCTTGCGAGTGGGGACTGAAAGAGTGTTATCTGTCCACAGTGGACGACACAAGCACCTCTTAACCTCTCCAACTTTCACAATAAATGCTCAAGAGAACACTTACCTGAACCAGGGGTCGCTCAATAAAATTTAGTTTACAAACCCTTATTTGCATGCTTTGCACATTGCACTTCTGAAAATATATCGAAAACGTGTCATTTGCATTAGTTCCAGCTCTGCCTGTGGTGAGTCACATTTAAATGGACCAAACAATCAATAGATTATCAAGAAGAACATTCAGAAAAGAACAGCCTCTGTTGTTCTGTATCTGGAAACAGACACTTCAAAGGTTGGACTTCAAATCTAGAATTTAAAGGGATAGTTCACCCAAAAATGAAACTTCTGTCATCGTTTACTAACCCTCATGTCGTTCCAAACCTGTATGACTTTCTATATTCTGTGGGAATACAACCAAAGTATTTTGAGGAATGTTTCAAACGTGTTTGTTTTTTTGTCCGTACAAAGAAAGTCAATGGGGTCCAACATTGTAAGTATTTGTGACTTTCAATATTGTGTTCCACAGAAGCAAGAAAGTCACACAGGGGTGCGTTTCCCAAAGCCAAATATGGTCACAAGTTCCGTCGTTACCAATAGAGTTCAATGGAAATTGCGATCATAGTTGGATAACGATGCTTTCGGGAAACGCACTCCAGGTTTGGAACGACATGAGGGTGACTGATAGCCTGGATGCCAGCCCGAACCCCGCCCACAACATTTTTTGGTCGGGAAGTTCGGTCTGGACTCGATCCATTGAGGAGTAATTATGATCGGTTCAGAATTAGTCGGGGCGGGTCAAATTGCCAGGGCGGGCTTTATACGATGATGGACAGATGATCTGCAGTTACGTAATCATCGCGTTATCAAAGAGCGCTTGGGTTGAACTGGTTTCCCTCAGAGGTGACAGCAGCTGGAGAACTGAGATGTATAGATTCCACTATCGCGTCTGTTGTAAAAGAAATCGACAGCGCATTCATTTTAAAAGACGAACAGAGAACTGCAATCAAGGCATTTGTCGATCGGAAAGATGCGTTTGCCGTCCTTCCTACGGGATTCGGCAAAAGTTTATTTTATCAGCTGGCTTCAATGGTCGCTAAGAAGATGGGACGCAATGAAAACCCTGTGGTCGTTGTGGTTTCTCCTTTGGTCGCACTCGAGGACCAAGTAAAAGAAGCAACACTCATTATTTTACTACTTCTTCCAGCGTGCGTGCAGTTGAGTTCTGTTGACAACTTTGTAGCTCATAAAAAAAAAACACTTACTGCGTGCTCTGATTGGTTGTAGGTCTTTCCAATTGAGTGCAGAGTTTTTTTTTTTCCTGGTTCGGTTAAGACACGCCTTATAATCAAAGCCCTATGGAGCAGTATCAGACTCACATTCTGACTAGAATATGAGTATGACGAAGTCAGGCTAGGTGACTGAGGCTGTGTCCACCAAAGCATTTTTAGTCAGCTGAAAACGGCAGTAGCTCTTATGAAAACGCCTGGTTGTCCTGCATCTTCAATAAACAAGCTACAGTTAGTCCAAAATGCAGCCGCTAGAGTTCTTACTAGATCAAGAAAATATGATCATATAACACCGATTCTATCATCACTTCATTGGTTACCTATAAAGTTCCGTATTAATTACAAGGTCTTGCTTTTGACTTATAAAGCTCTGAATGGTTTAGCTCCAGTCTATTTAATGGATCTTCTATCGCCCTATAATCCTTTGCGCTCTTTAAGATCACTAAATTCGAGGCTTCTGGTCATTCCTAGGATATCCAGATCCACCAAAGGAGGGAGAGCATTTTCACATTTAGCTCCGAAGCTCTGGAATAGCCTTCCTGATATTGTTCGTTGCTCAGACTCGTTCTCCCAGTTTAAAACTAGACTAAAGACGCATCTATTTAGCCAGGCATTCATATAAATTTTTTATCTTACAGTTACTGTAAATTCAGCCTCTACTTCATAAACGCTGGAGGAGAACTGGCCCCGACTGAGCCTGGGTTCTCCCAAGGTTTTTTTTTCTCCATTGGGTCATCTGGTGGAGTTTTTCGGTTCCTTGCCACTGTTGCCTTTGGCTTGCTCAGTTGGGGATATTCATCATACCACTGATCAGATCTACCAAACTTGGATGTCTTTTCCAGTAATAAACAAACACTGTTAAGTTGTTTTGATTGATACTGTGAAGCAGCTTTGATACAATCTGTATTGTGAAAAGCGCTATATAAATATATTTGACTTGACTTGACTTGTTTTGGATGATGAAATGGCTGAACCATGTAGAAAGAGAGGACGGTTGGTCTGTGTGGTATTTGTCCCGCCCCTCCTCCTCTGTGATTGGACGGCTGGGTAAAAAGTGACAGTGATGAATCAACTCTCGGCTACCAGAATATATGCGGCGCTCCTATTGAAAACAATTGAAATATGCAGGCCATAGGGGGAAAGAAACACTTTGGTGTAAATTAATTAAAATTTTTGGGTGAACTATCCCTTCAAGTGGAGAGCAATTAAAAATCTCTTGTTTGATTTGAAACTTCCCCGGATAACAAAGCAGGTTACAATAGGCCTAGTCACACACAAGTAAAAAAGAAGACAAGTAAAAATATTTCAGCTCTTCAATGGCAATCAGCAATTTGGTGGAATTCAGATCCTTTAACCCTCTGTAAGTCATAACCGTGTGCTGATCCTTAGCCAAACTCTCTCTGTTAGCTCAGAGCTTCTCTCTTTGGTTTCACCATACAGAAACCTGTCCTGCCTCTCATCAAACACAGATCCATCACTAGGTCATACATCACAACTCATTCCAGCGATCGCCTTCATTCGTGTACCACTGAGAGGAGAACATGGTATAGACTACGAAAGAGTTGAACACCTTTGTTTGTTCACAAGAATTAACCGTCTGGGATGCCAAAACTCAGTCAGTCTTCATTTTGGGGAATTTGTGTAATGCGAACAGTTATGTTTTCTTGTGAGATCAGTTTGGTTGTATGATGATGTGTATCAGTCTCGTGTAGCCAGACCTTCAGTCAGACGTAGAAGCGCTGGACTCTATCGCAGCTTTCATTGGCCAAGGACCGCCCAGAGGCCATCTGACTGACATGCAAAGCAACCAATCACTGTTCGTTCTGAGCAGTATCATGATTAAAGGCGTGGAAATGTAATATCAATGTCCCTACAATAACAGACCGACATGTAAAACTCCTGGATGTATTTTAAGCTGCAAACTTCACATCATTTTGATAATCCAGCATTTAGTTGATCCTGATAAGCGCTCATTGTCACAGGTGTAAGTAAACACGACAGCTTTCTTCTTCCATGAAAATAAGCTGAGTCAAAAGCCGACACACACGTCTCCCGGAAATCCCGAACCAATCTGACGACTTTGAAACTCCTGAAGTGTTTCCAATTTTGTGTGCCTTAAGCATCAGACATTATGACGTCTGAGGCTGAGACTGGATGTGTTTAAGCTTTATCTGAAATTTCAGATAATTTCGAACGGATTTCTTCAACTAAGGGCAGTTTCGGTCCTGTGGACTTCGAGAGAAGAACTCAATACAAAATTCAAATGATTTGTTAATACAAAATTCCCACATTTACTAGTTTATTTAATTTGCCACAAACAATGTACATCACAGTGTATCTCACAGAAGAACTTTGTTTTTTTTTTTGCGGGGGTCCAACTACAGCTACAGTGTCATTTCCATCACATCTCAAATTATGCATTTTGTTTATTATCATTTTGCAATGCAAATGACTGATGGAAATTACATTTTTAGAATAAGATGTCCACTAATTTGATAGTAATTTTTTACATAATTTGTCACTATTACAGCTTGATTAGAAATGATGCACAATACAAATATTGTTCACAAGGAATTTTTACCTTTAATTTATCTGTATTTTCACTGACAAGTAAACGTAAATTAACTTTCGAAAAACTTTATTAGGGGCAAAATAGTTTGAAGTGGTGAAAATGATCCCACAACTGAAGAAAAGTCGTAATAATAATAAAAAAAAATATATATATTAAGGTCATATATTTAAACCGAAATATATGTTTAGAAGACATTTGAAAAGAAGTAAATTTAAGTGATGGAATGAAAAAACAGACAGGAAAAGACAGTTTTAATGTGACCCAGTGTTGTTTTTGTATCATTATTTATTTATTTTTTATTATTTTTATAAGAAGTTATTTTTTAGAATTTATCTGTTTTTTATTTTAATTTTAGTTAAAGTTTCAGTTTTTTTTTGCTGTTATGTTTTGTATTTGTTTGATAAACATATGCCTGTAGTTTTTATCATTTTCATATTATTATTATAATTTTTATTTCAGTTTTATTTTTAGTTATTTTAGTACATCAATTAAACTTCGATGGCAACCAACTGAAATAAAATAATCTTAAGTAATTTTTTTGAATGGTTTGAGTTAACTATAATAACCCTGATGAGACAAAAAGTTGAAATCTGTTGCTTTGCCATATAAGGGCATTAGAAGTTTTGTCAGCGAGTCCTTCAGCTGTTACGTTCTCAACCCTCCCATCACAAAGGTGTCTGTGCTGCTGAGACTGTATGTGTGTTTGCATTTACGTGTGCTGGATTACACGGCCTCTTTCAAGACCAGTAATGAGAAGTGAGCTTACACTTACCCGACATCCCGGTATTGGCCAGGGCAGGGCTGATTCTCACAGAGGCCTCTAGTTGATCCCATTAAAAGCAATCAGCCTACTGTTTGCACAGTGGTAAAAGCTTTAAAGCTGCCCTCCTCTCTCGCTCGCCTTCCCCCTGCTCTCTCTCCGACCAGGTGCGGGTCCTTCAGTTCTCTAAAGCGTACTGCACACAGTATATACTGTTGGTTCGCTTTACATGAGGAGCCTGGTAAATGAATACATGTTGATATTTTAAAGAAATTAGACTTTACATTAAAATCCTATGAGAATTAGAAAACAAACCCCATATGGAAGATAAGTCACAAATGAGATCTCTTTAATGTCTCAATTGTGCATTTAAATAGAGAAGTCTCCTGCTTCTAAGAGTTTTCTCCTATAGAAAAACACCATTGGAAACTCACATACGTCTTCTCAATGATTCTCAATAATGTCTCAAAATGTCTGCATAAAATATCCTGGTGACACTTTACAATAAAGCTGCATTGGTTCACATTAGTATTAGTTAGCATGAACTAATAATGACAAATCTAATTTCTTTTTATTATGGATTAGGGTTTGGTTTAGGGTTAGTTGCATGTAATTATGCATAATTTAGGTATTACTATAGCAAAGTTGACATAAACTAACAATGCACAGTTGTGTTTGATAAAATGTTATAAAATATTAAGTGTAACCCAGTATTTTATTAAATCACATCAATCAATCACATTTATATATATATAGCACATTTTAAAATAACACACGTTGGCCAAAGTGCTTTACATACAGCCCAACATATCCAATCTAAGATTATGAAACAAAGTATAAAACAATTACAAAAATTAATTACAATCAAATGCAAGAGAAAAGAGATGAGATTTAAATGCATCAAGGGTGGCACAAGATCTAACATGGAGGGGTAAACTGTGCCATAAACAAGGAGATGCAAACCTTTTGATTTTAGTCGAGACTTAGGAATAGTTAGCTGAAACCTCTGTACAGATCTTAAAGGCCTAGAGCAGGGGTCTCAAACTCAACTTAACTGGGGGCCGCTGGAGGTAGAGTCTGGGTCAGGCTGGGCCGCATCAAGTATTCCACAAAAAATAGTATTCAAGTATTCCAAAAAAGGAGCACAACTGATCCAATCTTCTCAATATTTATTATTAACGTTTCTTCTGAACAGTTCCTCTGAATTTAAACATACCTTTCTGTACATGATTGGTTCTTCATGAGCTGTCCTTCTGACAGTTGAAGTTCATTTTACAAACTTTCTTTGTCTATTACACATATTTGTGATATTTATATTTCCTTATGTCCTTTTTATTTTCTTTATACAACACATTAATGATATTGAATGTTTTTTATTGGAAGGCACATTTCCTTTTATTATACTAAGAAAAACAATTATTGCTTTTGAAATACAAATATTTGCAGTCATGTCTGCCCGTCTTAATGAATTATTTCTACACATGTATAGTGTCTCAAATTACTGACTGCACAAATCAAAGCAAACCTTCTTATCAACCTGTTGGACACATATTACAAGCTCAAAATGATTATTCTCACATTGTTTTAGAGCAGGGGTCTCCAACACGTCGCTCGTGAGCTACCAGTAGCTCGTGGCCTGATTGGTGGTAGCTCGCCAAGGGGCTGTTCACATATCGCGCTCACATATTTTGCGCGCTCAAGTTCGTTATTTCAAATGTAGGCGCGCGGCAAGCGCGCTCATAATTGAAGCGACGCGCTCATTTTTTCCAGGCGCAGTATGTTTGTACTTCGCGGTTGTCTATGACAACTATTGACAACAAACCCACCGTAAGCTGTCACGAGACTATCTATGGTAGCCCATAAGGGATAAAAAACATTTTTTTTTTTTAAAACGCGGCACACGCAACGATGGGCCGCACTAACATTAACATTTAATGTCAAGTAGGGGGCCACAAAATATCACCCTGCGGGCCGCAAATGGCCCGCGGGCCGCGAGTTTGAGACCACTGGCCTAGAGGATGTATGTTGCTGAAGAAGTTCACTAATGTAACTTAAAAGCAAATAATAACATCTTATACTTAATCTTAAATTTGACTGGAAGCTAATGAAGGGATGCTAGTACGGGTGTTATACTCGCATATTTCCTAGTCCCGGTTAAAAGCCTAGCAGCAGCATTTTGAACCGACTGCAGACGTGAAAGTGATGCATGAGAAATACCATAATACAATGAATTACAATAGTCCAATCTGGACGTGATAAAAGCATGCATAACAACTTCCAAATCATTAAAAGACAAAAAAAAGGTTTCAATTTTGCTATATTCATTAATTGGAAAAAACCACCTCTAACCACTGAATTGATATGCTTATCAAACTTTAACTCAGCATCAAAAAGAACTCCAAGACTCTTTGATTATGTACCTTGGATTTAAAAAGGCCTAATTGATTAATTATATGTTTGGAAGAACACGGAGGGCCAAACAATATCACTTCAGTCTTTTACTTTACAGTGTCCTTGTTACACGTTCCATGTAGTTAGTAATGTACCTACAAATTATGCATAATTACATGCAAACCAAACCCCTAACCCTATAGTAAGTACATTAATCATTATTACACAGTACTTGAACACGGACACCTTTAAATAAAGTGTAACCTAATATTTTAAGGTGCTGTTACCGTGTAATTACACAAGTAAGTACTGAGTAATATTATGGTATGTTTACATGACGATGTACTAAAGATGGAAACGTTTTTCCTTTGCGTTTTTCAACGTTGTCAAAACGATCCCCGTTCACAAGGATCCGCGAAAACGACTAAAAAAGCTGTTCTGCTGCCAGGCCAGTAGTTGGCGACTTTGTAAAGAAACACAAGCGCCTATAACACATAATACATCTGCGCATGACACCACCGTTTTCACAAATATGCGTTTTTGTAGTTTACATGGAGACAATAACGGTAGATTGTTTTCAAAAAACCTGTTTTCAAAAGTTTGCGTTTTCAGGCATGAATAATTTCCCGTTTTTAGTTGGAAAAACTGTTGTGTTAAGAGACCCTTAATTAACCACATGCACTTATTATAGGGTTAGGGTTTAATTAGGGTTAGTTGCTTGTAATTATGCATAATTTACTTTTATTACCGTAGTTAGTGCATGTAACTTCTGTAACTGTTATATGGTAGGGGGCGCTATTAAGCATCTTCTGAAAGGCGGTGGCTGGCAACTTTTTAATAAAATGGCAGGGAAAGATAGCCTAGAAATCTAGACGCACCCTAGCGGCAGCAAAAATTATTTTGCAGCAAAGTAAGGTCTAGCAACTCTCCATAGACTTTTGAGCTGGAAAAAACAAAAACTGGTCCGGCCAATCAGATCGTGTAGAGTTGGTGGGCGGGCTTAACATAATGACGGCAGAGTTATGACGGTTCCGCGTGATTTCCATAGGTGATGATTTCCCTCTGCTTGAAAACAAAGAAGATGCTGCTGGCGAACAGCGGTCTTTCGAATCGGCTTTGGCCGCGACTCTGGAGGACTTGGAGTTAAGAGAACGTCACTTAAGTCATTCCTAAAAAAGGAAGATGTGTTCAGAGTTTTGACGACCGGATATGGCAAAAGTTTAATATACCAACTAGCTGGTTCACTGGTGGAAAAACGCATGGGACTCACTCAGCCACAGCCGTTCGTTGCTCTGGTTGGTTGTAGCGCTGTCCTATTGCGTGCCGAGGGATATTGAAAGACAACCGTTTATCCCGCCCCTCGGATTGAGGTATGCCAATTGTGAGTTCCCAGACCTAACATCTTGATGTAGGTCTGGCTTGCCAGGCTAAGGGAAAGAGTTAACAGGTAAAATGTTACCAATATCTCAGTATGAACTCAGACATTTCTCATTAAATTCTTCCTGGAGCACACAGTGTCTCTTAAAGCTTTACTGGATACCTCAGTTCTAATTTTAGGAGAAACATCTGTGTCAAAGTTGATATTTAAATTACGCATTAAATGAGAACTCAATGAAGTATCCACAGTTTAGGATCTAAGGGCTCTAAAAACAGATACCGAGCAATTTCCTTTGAGATGTCTATGTCCTGATTGGTTCATTGTCACAATAGAGTGCCTGTCTTTTTATACAATCACATTCTACACACTCAGAAAACGTTACAAAAGCTGTGCACTGGTGCGGTATCCTTTCAAAAGGTACGTCTTTGTACTTTATTTACCCCTAAACGGTGCATATTAGTATCTTAAAGGAGTATCTTTTGAAAGGTTACCGCCAAAGTGACAGCTTTTGTACCTTTTTTTCTGAGTGTATTTCCACCCTCATCTTCATGGTATGCATTCATATTCATACTCTTGGTTATGAAAAGCCAGCCTTTTTTCCACCAGCACATGTTCTGCTCCCATTATTGTCTTTGTCCACTACATCTAATCAACTGCTCAGGTGTCAGTGAACAGAGCAAATATAGGTACAATACCTACAGCCCGACCAACCATTCCCGTTTCTCTTCTCTCTCCCTCTGCTCTCAATCCCCTCTGTTTCTTTGGAGTGGTCAGGCATTGTATTTACCTGAGCGATCTCCCTCCTCATCCCTTCTTCATTCCACTCTGGTGGCTTTAGTCCATGACCCCACCCTTCTGCTGATAAGACTGTAGGAAGACTTCACTGTTTACTCCAGTTAAGAACTCTAAAATCAACATGAAGAAAAGAAACCTGATGCTAAAACCTTGGCTCTCCATGAAATCCTGATCATTATTAGAGCAATCTTGAGTATTTGGGGGAAACTCTGAATGTCAAGAATGTCCAGATCATATTACACACATTTTCACAAGATCAAACAAGGGAAATAAGAAATTAAATTTGATATCTTTCATAGCCCAGCGCCCGTTTTCTAAAAAAGTTGCTAGCCAGCGCATCATTTTGATCATTTTCACAAAACTTTTATGGCCCACAGAATATATTGGTATATGAATATCTGAACATACAATTTATCAAAAGAAAGAATGGAGCCTCTGCTTTAAAAAACAACAACAAACAAACAAAAAAGCATTTTATTCTAGCTTCATGCATTCTTTTTTTTCACTTGAATTCACTTTAATGTGGATGAATTTCATTAAAAAAGCAACATTTTTAACAAAAAGCTAAAAAAATAATTAGATTGTGGTGATCAGAACGATGATCAAAACAAATGGATTAGATCGAGTCCATCAACACCCCCAAAGCGCCACAGTCCTATACCTCATTTTTGTGATATTATTTTCATGAAAAGTAAGCACATTTCTACCTAATCAATTCTCATATTTTTGTAATGCAAAAATCTCAATCGTATTACTAAAATGTGGAAAACAACCACAAC